TAAATAATTTACTACACCAACCACAGTAGACACAAATACTGCATATAGAGACAAGCAATGATGGGACATCCAAAATATCAATTTAAAAAGACAAAATCCATCCTCAAGGGAGTGGAACATGTTGACAATTGAACTCACTGTTCTGAGTATACTCAACGGGTCTAAAGGAAGTAGATAAATAACTCACTGAAACCAGGAAAATGGTTCATGAACAAAATAAGAATTTTAACAAAGCAAGAAAACATTTTTAAAAACCAGTAATACTGGAATTGGGAAATACAATTACAGAACTGAACACTTTTCTATAATGGCTCAGCAGCAAATTTGAATGTTTCACAATGTTATCCATAGTTTGCTATGATACACACAGTCATTAAAACACAAGTAAACATCTTTCTGGTGTTCTCTTTTTGCCAATATACATCTGACTTCAGCTATAATATTCCTTGTTTGATGTCATCTTCAGAATTTGGCTTGCATGTCTGTTTATGTGCTCCTGTAACCATTTTTGAATTATCTTCATCAAAATAGTACATACATGTGATATTGTTTTTATTGAGTTAAGATATGTCTTTATAATCACTGAATGGCTACAGGCAAGTTTTTGCATAATACATGGTTCTTTGTCTCATTGAAGTATCTTTACTCAAAAAAGAAAAAAGAGTAAACTATTATTTTCTAAGGGAATCTACTGGCAGAGAGGTCAGATAAAAAATTAGCTAGTTCTTAAATGCTTCCTCCCCCCACTCTCATAATCCCAACTCTACTTTAAAAATCTGGCTAGACCAGAGAATGTACACTGGTACAGATAGGAACTGGAAACACAGGGAATCCAGGACGGATGATCCCTTCAGGACCAGTGGTGTGAGTGGTGATACCAGGAGGGTGGAAGGAGGGTGGGTTGGAAATGGGGAACCAATTACAAGGATCTACATATAACCTCCTCCCTGGGGAATGGACAACAGAAAAGTGCATGAAGGGAGATGTCATACAGTGTAAGATATGACAAAGTAATAATAGTTTATAAATTATCAAGGGTTCATGAGGGAGTGGGGAGCGAGGAGGGAGGGGGGGAAGGAGGAGCTGATATTAAGGGCTCAAGTAGAAAGCAAATGTTTTGAGAATGATGAGGGCAATGAATGTACAAATGTGCTTGACACAATGGATGGATGTAAGGATTGTGATAAGAGTTGTATGAGCCCCCAGTAAATTGATTTTTTAAAAAAAGTTATAGCTACCAAAAGGTCAGTTTCAGTAGATTTTCTCAACTGGCACAGATGATAATGTATGTTTATTATGATGAAACTCTATGAAAAGTAAAAACTGCTTTGGTGAGAATAACACAGAAAAGTGGCACCAAGGAACATTTCTATCATAACAATGCACCTGCTTATTCTTGAGGTAGCAAGGACTGGTGTGTGAGAATTTCATTTGGAGACCTTACCCTATCCACTCTACAGTCATGATTTTGTCCCTTCAAAAATCAGTGAACATTAAAAGGACCATGATCTGTATCCCTTAATGATGCCCAAACTGCCCTTTGGATGTGATATGAGTTCAGATTTCTTTGAACTCATGAACCACTGACTATTCTGGCCCACCCAGCCTATGTGATACACAACATTAACCACTTCAGTCAGCATTTGATTTTCACCTTGCACCACCATGTTCATTGCTGCCAGATTTACATTCTTATGGTGAAAATTATTCAGAGAGTAGATTTTTACAATGATAAATAGGAGATGTTGAAAACGAGATAGTTGACAAGTGAGAAATAGATGTATTCATTTTATTTCACTTCTATACAAGAAACTCTCTATACGACTCACCGGAAAGTTTTATAATTATGTTTACATAATTCAATATTGTACATTTTAAAATATTGATTAACCAAAATGGAGTTCTCTTGGAAAAACTTGGAGTTTGAAGTCAGAAATCAATATTTAGTTTCCCCTGTACACCTCATTGATTAAACTGCATATGAAGTTGGATAGGGTCATCTCCAAAATCTCCTTTTGCATAAGTTCTTTTTACATTGTTGATATATTTGTTTGATATTAAACAATGTCCATATCAGCCATTATACACATAACCAAAGTCCCTTTAAAATTTTAAAAGTCAAATATGCCATTTTGATGATTAGGATGTGTCTGAACTAAAGTCCTGATTTTAAAAATCACATAATATACATGCAATTACTGGACAGTGGGGCAGGAAGAGAGAAGAATGTATGCATACGAATTGTGATGTCAGTAAAGAATTCTTTATATACTGGCACTGTCAGAAGTAAAAACATCAGCATTAGAAGAAATTCAACCAGGATACTCTTTAGAAGCAAATGTGACGAGACTTGTGCTGGCTTATTTTGGAGCCAGTATCAAGAAGATAAGCCACGCCTTAAAGGATATCACAATTGGTCGAGGAAGGGGTCCGGGGAAAAGAAGAAAACACTTCATGAGACAGACCGGCACAATAGCCATCGCCATGGACTCCAATATACCAACAATCATGAAGAGGGTACAGGAACTGCAAGCATTTTATTCTATGATATATAAGGGGGCAAGGAATCAGAATTAACTTCATGACAACTAAACAAAAATTACGTAATGTTAGTAAGATCAAATATAAATGACACATTTCTAATGCTTTCAAGATCTCATACAAAAAGTTCAACAGAAAATATTTAGAATTGGTTGCCAGTTGGGTATATGTGCCTCTTGGTAATAGCCATGCTGATGCTTTCCAATAAGTTTAGATTTATATCCCCCAGAAGTTACAGGAAAAAAACAGATTCAATAAGATAATAATATACAAGGAAAAAATATCCCAGTTGGAGATATAATCAAACACTGATATAAATGACATTTACCAAAAAAACAGAAGGTAAGGAAGAATAGGTTTATAATGAAAATATTTCATATATTATCGTGAGTAATCATCATATCTTGCTGAGATTCAGAACATTGCTGTTGGTATGAACTGCAACATTGAAAGCAACCAAAATCCATTACCTCTAAATATTCAGCAATGTATTAAATTTATACTTGATTAAAGCTCCCCCCACATATGATTAAACTTCTTTCTCTCTCTCTCCTCATCCCACTCCCCATACTCTCTCTCTCTCTCTCTCTCTCATGCACACACACACACACACACACACACACACAGAAATGTACACAAAAGGGGCACATAAGGGGTACCTTAGGATTCTCATAATTTCTCTAGGTTATTTAAACAATTATCTGTTCCCAAAAAGTAAAATTCTGTTCTTAAAAATCAACCTCACAGTTAAAGTTCTAAAAATATTGTCTTCATTTGTGTGTGCAGATAGTATTGAGCCAGAATGAAGAAACTTCTTTCCCTACTGTACTCTCATTAGACTTCTGGGAGGATGATGCTGCCGTTATCACTGAAGAAAGTTTCTCATAATTAATCCTTAAGGAAATTGACTTTTATCCACATTGTGAACTCATAATTGCACCTTGTAGTCCTTTTAATTTTTTATGATATTTAAAATAATCTATTTCTTTTTCAAGTTGTGTGAGTATTGTGGGCTGCCTGGAGACATTTGGGAATGAAGGGAGGGACACCAATCTCCTAAACACAAGAGCAGTTCTTTTAGTTTATTCTAAGCACGTATTACCTGGTCTTGGGAATAGAATGACCAATTTCAAGGAGAAAAATCACTTATAACAATTAGCAAGGTCAGTGAAAAGTTTTCTATTTGGTGAGTTAAATATGTTATTTATTTTCTTTTAATTTTAAAATTCAGCACAAAATTATTACTTCTCACTGAATAATAACTGGAAAAAGATAACATCTAAGGTTAATTAAGTTTTTATTGTGTTCTAGCTTGATACTGGTAAACGGATTTTCCTGGAAATGGTCAAATTGCCCTATCTCCTGCTATATAAAAAGGACAACATAAGAATTACATCAAATTGTCAATCACTACAATTTCTCATTTTGCACACAACCCAGAAATTTTCCTTTCTGTAAATGTACTCTTCAAACCAAGGAAGTTACAGTGAAAATAGTGAGACGGTGATAAACATCATCCACTGAAGTGACATTACTGGGGCAACCTTTTAAACAACCTAATACTGTAATTTCTGATTCTTCCAGATGGAAAAAATTGAGATACATTGAGATTGTGTTATTTACTCGACGATTTACATCTAATACATAATTCAACCTAAGATTAATTGTTTTTTACAGTCAAATTAAAAATTATTTAACTCACTGATATGTGATTCCTTGATAATCGATAATTGCAAATATATGTTTCACCACTATACTGAAGTACAGAGTGAATTAGACAAAATGACTTTTACTATTTAACATAGTAACTTATTTTCCATGTGAATATAAAGTTAAATAATTCAGTTGTCTTTTTGTATTTTATATAGAATACCTACACCTTAAATTAAAATATACAGTATTAAAGAAAAAATAAGTCTTTCGAAGACTGAGTTCTACCCACCTAAAAAAATAATATTAGCAATTTCAAAGATATTTTCTTTCTCTAAGATTTAATGATGTAAAATTTTTAAAAATACTAATTGGCCTCTATCTTTTTACTCCCAGTTAAAGCATTGGCACTTTAGCTTACATTACCCAAATGTTGAAAATAGTTGAAAGCATCTGAAGGCTTTAAAAAAAACACTTTTTAAAAGGAAATATTCTAATGGAAGTGAATGCAGGATGTAACAATGATATTGACAAGGACATGTATGGCTGAGTTATCAAAGTATTTGATGGACAAAAATGTTGGTACTATTTTAACACTATATACACTAATAAGCCTAAATATTTACTCAAGAGGAAGATTAACTGGAAATGGAAGCACTATCACACACTTATGAAAATGTGATGAGTGTTTGCATGTGAAGATATGCAAATCTGCTGCACCTAAGTTTCCATGAGTGAGTGCAGTCTCATCTGATTTGGATACAAACAGAAGTTTTGAACCATTTTAATTAATCACTAAATATTCTCGTCTATGATTTGTTTGGGTTTTTTTGGTATTTCCCCATTACTCTTCCCATGGCTCCCTTCACTTCTTTGTTTCTGAGGCTATAAATAAAAGGATTAGCCATGGGGTTGATGACTGCATAGAACAAGGAGATCAGTTTATCTCCCTCTGCAGAATAAAGGGACTTGGGTCTCAAATACCTTACTAATCCGGTCCCATAATACAAGGTTACCACAGTCAGGTGAGATGTACATGTCGAGAGGGCCTTCTTCCTGCCCGCAGCTGAGTGGATTCTCATGACCGTCAGTAAGATCCGAAGGTAGGAGAGCATGATGAGGAAGAAGGGGAATAACACGGTGCCAGCCCCTCCCAAAGTCATCAAGGTCTCATGCAGGGATGTATCACCACAGAACATGTGAAGAAGAATGGGAAATTCACAGAAAAGATAATCAACAACATAGGGACCACACAGTGGGGGGATTGTGAAATAGAGAGGCACTATTGAGGCAAAGAAGCCAATCGTCCAGGCCCCTATAGAGAGTGCCAAACACACAGACCAATTCATAATGATCCGATATCGAAGTGGGTAACAAATAGCCACATAGCGATCCAAAGCCATCACTGCAAGCAGAAAGCACTCAGTTGCCTCTAGGAATAACGTAAAGTAGGTCTGAGCAAGGCAGAAGTTGTAAGATATGACTTTCCTGGTGGCAAGGAAATTAACCAGCATCTTTGGGACCACAAGTGTGCTAAAATACAAGTTGAGGAAGGCCAGGTGACAGAGAAAAAAATACATGGGTGTCTGGAGAGAAGTGTCAAGAAATACTAAAGTGATGACGGCTGTGTTTCCAAAAAGATCTGCCAAATAGATCAGGGAGAAGAAAAAGAAGAGGGGCACCTCAGCATGGGGGTGATTGGAAAACCCGACAAGCACGAGCTCACCGATGGTGCTGGAATTTTCTTCCCCCATTTTGTCCATTAAAAATTGTCTGTTAGAATGACAGAAAAGAAGAAACAAAATTGAACATATGAATATAATTAGGTTAAATAAAGTCCTTTTACATCAGTTAGGCTACTAATATCTTGAACTGATGTTTTATATTGGACATTTCAGTCAAAAAAATTTGATTCAAAAGCATATGAATAAAATATATCTCCAAATCATGATCTACATTATGAAACTAATATTTCGATTAAAAACTTTAACATTCCAAGCTGACAGTCTGGATCAACTATACTCATACATGCTGTACACTGCTTCTTTATACTAGAATATTAAAATAGCATTATCTATTTATTATAAAGGCACTAATTTTTGTAGAAAAATGTAAAATATCCAAAACTAAAAGTAAGAAACGTCGGTGGCTGAAAACAGCACCATACTCTTTTCATTACTTTAAAAATCTGAAAAAATATTATTCTCATTTAGTAAGACAGAGAATTGGTTTGTGTTCTATTCCTAGTTGCTAAGTTACATAAATTATCATAATTAAAATGAGGATTAATGCCCTGAATGTAATACTGTTGACTATTTTTACTATTCAATATTAATAAAAATATAATCCTCTAAACAATTGAATTTTTATTTTCATGATTATTGTTACCGAAGTGGATCCAGCTGTTTCAAATTCTTACTTTCATCTTTTAAGAAACATGCTAAGTACATCAAGAAGTTAGCTTTATGGAATAATGAATCATAATGATCATATGATAACATTATAAAATTTGTGATCACTTTAAATATAGTAACTAAATTTGCTAGCCTGTGCTCCCGCAAGAGAATTAATCTGTGCATATAATATGTGAGCACACACCACACCCAAAAGTAAACCACCTTTTCTTAACAAAATAACAGCATTAGAAACAAAACAAGCAATATGCTTAGAAGGATATTTAAATTTTTAGAAACAAAAAAAGGAAACTTCTTTCCTAGCATCTTTTTTTTCTCTAATATCTCCACTAATCTCTCTCCTCTAATTTATATTTCCTTCTTTTTGTTGTCATTTCCTGTCTGTGGAATTTTTCAAAGTTCTACCCAAACTTGTGATCCACTCATTCGGTGTTCTTTCTCTTTTCATAGTCCAAAATAGTAGCTCAGTAAACCACATGAGGGGAAATACCAATGAGGTGAAAGAAGTAGAAGAGTAAAAAAGTAGATAAATAAGTAGAGAATAGATGATAGATAGGTAGATAGAGAGACAGGGAGATAGATCGGTAGATAGATGACAAATAGAATAATATATAAGGTCTACCTCAAGGGAAAGGAGTGAGCACTTTAAGAATATAGAACAATTTATGTACTTGCCTAGTTTTTTTTAATAGAAAGACTCTTTATCCATTATTGGGCTAGATTGGCATCTGATAAAATAATTTTTCTGAAAATGGTCAAATTGTCTAATATCTATATGTATATATATATATGTATATACACACTGCCCCTTGATTCACCATCAAGCAGATCTACATAAAAGAGATTGCACGAAAACAGTACCAATTGATCAATCACTCTACTTCCTTATCTTTATACTGCCCAGAAGTCTTTGTTGTTATGTTCCTCAGACTCATGGCAGTTAGACTGAAAAAAGTGAGGGAACTATGGACAGTGAGATGCAAAACCTACAGCCTGATTTTCATGACTGATTTTAGCATATGCATTACCTACATTCTTTCTTTTTTTGATTATGCCAAATTTATGTTAGAGGTGGGGAAACTGAAATCAAGGGCGAGATAGTTAAGAAAAGTTCTGTGTCACGAATTGTAAGTCCTCAGTGACTCTATTAACAGAGGCAAAGTTTTGAGGTGAATCCCAGAGGGAGCCAGTTAACTAACTTCCTGTAAAAAGAAAAATAATAATAATACATTTCACTTTTGCCTCTGTCAGGCAGCTCATTAATGCAAACTTTATTTCCTATTTATGATAACATTTGTTAACCTCATTATTTCTCTGTGAGAAACATGTGAACTACAAGTCTTAATAGAGACATGCTAGTGACATTTTGTATTTACCATACATAAAATTAAAACAGCTATTGTAAATTTGTCCAAATTGCAAAAAGAGAATGCAAAATAAGAAATAAAGGAAATCATGAAAACTAAGCATAAACCAAATGTGAACGTCTAAAAAGAAATGATGAAAGGAATAAAACAAAAACACTAGTGCTGAAAGGCCCAATAAATTAAAGAAACAAATCATCTTAGTGTTCCAAATGTAAATTAGAACAGACAAAAGAAGAAATAAGCATATTTACTTAAAGATACGACGATTGAAATATCTGTGTCTAACGTCTAATATCTACATGTATATATATATATATATATGTATATACACACTGCCCCTTGATTCACCATCAAGCAGATCTACATCAGTACTGTGGGTATTTCAGGAAGATAGAGAGAAAGGATATAAAGAACGTTTGAAGAAATAATAGCTGAGTGCCTGAAGACTTGATTGTTCCCATGAGGAGAGTGAGGATGGCTTAGTCTCACATCCCTTGCACATGTCATCAGAAAAGACCAGTCCCTGGGAAAGGACATTAAGATGACCCACAAAGAGACTGATTAACCCCTGCTCACAATATGGGATCAAACATAACAACACATGGTAGTGTTCATTGCGTACTGGGTCACTATGAGTCCGAGTTGACTCGACTATAACAATAAACAAGATTGAAAAAAAAGGACTCACATCTATGCATCCATAAAGTTAAATGATTCCAAATAGGACAACTGACTAAATCTATGCTAAGATGAAGTGAAAACAAACTGCGGAGAACACTGTTATAAAAGAAAAAAACATCATGTTGCACATTTTCATAACAAAATAAACAAATTTTCATGGTTGCCAGAGGTAGATGGGAAAGAGAAGCTGTAGGCTAGATGGTGACAGGTGGTAACTTGGGTGAAGGGGAAGATAATATCCTACAAGAGGGAACAAGGAGAAACAAGAGGTGAGTCGGGGCTGGGGTGAGGTGCAAGCTATTGGAGGTTAGGTAAGTTTTTGAATACAAGAATTTTCTGAACTACAAACCTCCACTTAATTCACAATAAAGTTTTTTGTTTGCTTGTTTTGTTTTTAAAGGACAGAAGAGAACCTTGAAAATAGAAACGGAAAGGCAAATTGTGATTGCAGGGGCAGGGAATTATTTAATCTGGTTCTTCCAGCCAAAATCTCTCTATTAACCATCAAATTACTTTTTCCTACATGGGTCTGGGTTAGAAGATGGGTAAAGACACTGATAGGATACGCCTGTGAGTAATTGTTAACATGATGTACTATTATGGCCATCCAGCTGGATAGAAAATAAGCCCTCTGAAAGCAGGGACAAGGATCTCCTTAGCAGTAAGAGCCAGGAGTGGAGCACAGTCTAGACTATAAGATCCCCCTGCAGTGAACTTCCCTAATCCAAAAGGCAGTTGTGCCATAAGCAGAATGGCTGAAGACCAGTAGCACTCATGGAGCCAGGAGCCAGGAACATGAGACACAGTGGTGGACATCCTGGCTCACAGAGCAAGGAAAGCTGAGTGCTTTGGGGCAAGAGGTTGACTTGTGGAGTTGAGTAAGTCTGGGCATCTAATTAGGGGAACTGGCTCACTGGCCCACATAGCTGGAGTTGAGTGCTTACAGCAGAGTGGCATGCCCTTTGGGTATGTATTAGAAGCCCTAAAAGAAGTTTGTAATATGTTCTGTGTGACTGTTCTATGTAATATGTTCTGAGTTCTATGTGACCAGTGTAATGAATTCTCAAACTCAGAAACTGAAAAAGTAGAGTATGAATTTGTGTGATTTCACAGTCATATAAAATAGACCTTGGGGTTAACAACCAAGCATAAAACCCACTACACTACCAAAGCTTCTGCACCTAAAAACAGAGCCCTAAATTGTAAGCAAACATTAACAGAATTGAAGTGAGAAATAACCCATTCTGCAAGAACACTTCAAAGCACCACTCTATATAATGGACAGGTTATCTGGTCAAAGGCCAGTAAGGAAACAGAGGAGTTGCATGGAATTGTAAACCCATTTAAACCTTTTGCTGTTGAGTCAACTCCTACTTATAATAACCTGACAGGAAAGAATGGAAGTGCTCCGTAGGGATATGTATTTCCAGGCTTAAAATCTTAATGGAAGCAGAGAGTCATGTCTTTCTCCTGTGGAGTGGCTGGTGGGTTCAAACCACTGTCCCTCTGATTAGCAATTGAGTGCTTACCAACTGTACCACAAGGGCTCCTTATAAACCAACTAGATCTAATAGAGAGATCATCCCACCCTACAATGTAAACAAAAAAAATGTGTATTTCATCAAATGATAAATATTTTATGCATCCATGACCTTTATAAAAAATTGAAAAGTTGACCTGCAGAATGAAATAAAATAATATACCTGATGAAGGTATGATATCCAGAATATAAAAAGAATTTCTATGATTTAATCAAAAAAGTCAAGCACGTCTTTAAAAAATAAATGGTGGGATATATTAATTAGACATTTATCCAAGATAGATGATAAAAGGATAAATAAGCACATGTGAAGATCTTCAATACCTTTAGTTACTAAGGAGAGAAAATTAAAGAATCTCCAAGAGAAGGCACTTCACACCATTAACATGACTATTATGCAAAATAAATATGAAAAATAATAATGATCAGTAATTCTCTCACCATACCTGTGTGAAAAAATGGCACAGCCATTATACAAAACAGGCATATGATTTATCAAAAAATTTTAATTTTGAGGAAAACAAAATAAGAAAAATAAATACAAAGCGGAGCATAGTAACTGGCACAGAGCTATTATTAATTTTACTTCTTATCTTCCATTCATATGTGTAGGTGTTTAAATGAATGTGCTTTT